TTTCTTTTAGATTCATTGCTGGATCGTTTATGAACATTTTACTTGAAAACTTTACTACAAAAAATATACAAATAAAAAAAATGTCAATTCTATGTTAAATCAGTTTAGTGAAACAGTAAATGTGTTATAGTAAGAAAAACGTAGAGGGCGTGTATATATATGCCTTTCGTAGTTAAAGGGTTAAATACGTAGAATAACAGTTGATAATTGTTTGTACAGGAACAGTCGTTTTTTGTTTTTACGAAGTAAAGAAGAAAAGACCTCTTTTCACATTTTCTTGTCAACATTTCTAATTTGCAACCCAAAGAAACATTCAAATGATAAATTAGTAGATATATGGTAATAGTGTCGTAACAAACTGCCAATTCGTGAAAAGACTGTATATCGAGCCTTCTAATTTGTTCACCACACTGCAGGCTACACTTCAGCAAACAATCAAGAGAGAACAACCATAATCTCTGACAAACATTTACGCACGAATTCGCTAGCCTCCACTAGCGTCATCTTTCACGCATCATCGTGCAATAAAACGAAAATATCGAAACCGCTCCTATCAACAGAGTCTCGACGTGGAGTATAAAATCACGCGAAAACCGCGAACGAAGGAGAAACACACGCTGAAACAAAAAAAAAATTTTGGTATATTTAAACATTGTTTGCATTTAAGATTATAGTGTAACTTCTTTAATCGTTTCGCGTGTTGGTCAACCTAAAAATCGTCACAGTGTGGAAAATATTATTCTTTAACATCCCTCTCATTAAAAAGAAACAGTTTTATGGATTAAATATGAAGAATTAGTTAATAATTAGTGTCCCTATAACTGTCACCTCAACAATTAAAGTAAGTCCTACATACTTTTACTTCATTTTGTACAATAGATATAGGGTGAAAAGTAAAATTACGACTCTTTCTTTAGTATAATTCTACCATCACGTTCTACTTGCGTAGATTTTTTTTCACGCTCAAAATGCACTTTCATTTTTCAACATTAATTTTTAAACACCAGGTACATACAAGTATTTCTTTGTATGTAAATGAACGTCCCAATTTAATAACAAATATTTTCGTACATAATTCTTTATATATTACGTTTTTATTAACTAAAATAAATAAAGTGGCAGTTATTAGGGACACTGGCAGTAATCGATACATTTACCCAGTGCAGGCAAAAGAAACACGAGCTTGTATAGACATTTGACAGTCGAACACGATAGGTTTCCACTGAAAGATCACCGATTTCCCAACTGGACGTGCGCGCGGGCGCTCGACCGATTTATCGTCTGTTAGGTACGGGTCTAAAATAGTTTCTATACACAGAGAAACTGTGTGGATTTCGCGATGCAACGTGTGTCCGCGGTTATCGTCGTCAAAACGAATTTTCACGAAAACCGTCGACGTATTGTAACTTCACTGGTTGGGAACCGCTGCGTTACGTAACAGCCCATTATCGTCGTGGGCTCTCTCGCGTCTTAGGAGATCGGCTAGCGCACACAGAGAGTCCACACGCGCGCGGTCTTTTGCTCCTCTTCTCCGTTCTATGTGGATTCCCTGGAAATCTCGTACCGGTATAGATCGGCGTCGTGAAACACCGTTAATATTTCGAGGAAGTATACACACAAGTACACACACCTATACACTACGGGTATATTTTCGTTCGTAGACGCCCAGAGCGGATTGGTCAAACGCTGACATCATTCGTGCATGTGGAATCAAGGACGCCGAAGAAAACGCCGCGGCTCGGTAGGATCCTTTAGGATGCTCCGGTAGATAAGTCCGATCCACCTACAAGTCGTGCAACAAGTGCAAAATTTACGCATAACCGTACAGAGGAATTTAATGTCCCGGCCCGTGCGTCGTTCAACCGTTTTTAGTCGTCGAACAGCTTTTGAAAATTAGAAAATTCGAGGGAATGGCGAGCGCGCACGCATGCATGCTCGTTTCGAATACAAAGAAGCACTCAATCGGTTTTCGTCTGAATTCACCGTGAATTTCTCTCCCATGACACGAAACAGAATAAAATCATGCGTTCAATTAAAAAAAAATCAAGGTGACCTTGAAATCTCTGAAATGCCTCCACCCACAAAAAAGTCACGTACCTTATAAGATGTGCCTCTTTGTGTCATTTAAGTTCCACGCCTCAAAATTTTCATAAAATGTACCGTTAAGTCATTATTCGAGGTGATTGAGTTACCTGAGACACGCTGTATACGAATTCCGACGCGGAAAAAATCGTTCCCTAATTTCGAACGTGTCGCCGAACCAAAACGTAACGGTCGCGGGCGAGCGCACGCGAATGGTAAACGGATCAACCGCAGATCGCGTGACTGCGACGATTTCTTTGCAGACACCCTCTTGAACCTTGGTGAGCAGCAGAGGCACAAGCTAGCAGCACGCACAAGTCCGCACGATCGTTGGCAGTTTCTTTTTTTTTTTCTTCTTCTTTTCCTTGAACGTCCGCCCCCTTACCGACGATCCTGTTTTGAAATGCACCGAAGTTCGGTCACAGCAGAGCTACCTGAATACCGTCCCGTGACACGATCCCAACCGAGGTACGTTGCTGCTCCACCGAAAGGACTCGAGCTGGTGGAATTAAATTTCCACCCTGGGAACGACGAATTCATGGAATTCTCACAATAATCGAAACGGAACCTATCGACGCGCCACGAAGGGCATACCCTTAAAGGATCGAAGCTCTGCTGTTGACACTTGGTTGTATAGAAAGGCGGCACTATTCACGTGTCCTGGGACAGTGGTGGAGATCGGACGCGTATTACCAATAACAGACGGTGCATACATGGTGTCGCCGGAAGGAAAATGCCCGTCGAAGGACGCAGCCTATCGTGGATTAGCGGGAACGAGGTCGTAGTGTGGCATCGTTGTCTAGCGAAGGTACAGATAACGGGCTAATGCCGTCCTGCGGCTGCAATGATTCGCGGGGACGACGAAGAGGAGGGAACCAGGTGGAAATATGTAAGAGGCGAGGCGGACATTGTCTCGTCGGCACCGTGCAAGTGCCACGAGGAAGAAGAGGTTGGCCTTATAGAAGGTTTATAGTTTGCGTAGGATAGACGATGAGCGTCGAGGTTGACACGCTGGAACTCGAGGTCTTCGAGGTGAGTCCTCTAATCCTCTCGAGGACACGACGAACGGAAGTCACACGCCGCCGCGTAGTGTTTCGATTGCAGATGTTAGCTGGACAAAACTCATTAACTCAACACCGATTTCAATAACCTTGAAGTATGTTGTCAAGGTCATCATTCTGACCAATTTTTCCTTGTATATATAATAGGCGGTTGTTCTTAGTTTTCGAGATATTCGTAAAAAATTGTTGCTACGACTATACGTTAAATTATGAGTTTTGTCCGGTTAATTAACATTAATCGAAACACTGTGCCCCGGCTTCGGCATTTTCAGCTGCTGGAAGTCGCGCCGCGGAACTGTTTAACGGGGGTGGGCGCGAGCGGAGAACCGCATTTGATAATGCATTTGGATTGTGAAAGTTTTGATTAATACGTTCTTTGCCAGTATATACATGGTACGCTTGAAAAATAACGGGATTGGTATAGCGTGTCAAGTCGGACGTCGTAGGTGTAAAAGTCCTTCGTCTTATTGAAAGTACGATACTCTGGCCCCAATGTAAATTTTATTTACCACGGTTGTAGTGTTTAATGAACGGTAGAATAACTACTTCTGGCTCTGATACGGAAGTTATTGATGATTATTATACTTTGTCATCGTGAGTCTGTCGCTGTTTTTTTGCTTTGAATCATCATGAATGCACAAAGGATACACGTGTTTACTGTGTAAAGCTATCATGTAATTGTATAACAATACCTACACAGTTAACAGAATGTGTACTTCATGCCTGTAATGTGTTGATGTCTATTAAAGTATGTACGAAGCTTCAAAGTGCCACTAATCATGGACGCTTATGTAACGAACAGAAGTGAATTCGAGCACGTTATTTTTCAAACGTCTTGTTTATTTCGGACAGTTTCGATTTCACATTTCGCTTCCAAAAAGTCAGATGAATTTGATATCTTTTGTTATTTAAGATCGTAATGTATAACGTAACATTCCGAGGTCCAATGAAACCCCTTTGCAATATTTTTTTTAATACTTCGTGAAGACATATTGAATAAAATGTTGAAAATACAGTAGATTCTTGGAAGACAGTCCCTAAATCAGATGGTGGTAACGAACGTGTTAATAATTTACACGTGAGTTTTTGTACTGTTAAATACGATAGATTTCTGGGTTGTATAAATATTCGAATCATTGCGGTCCTCCACATTTCGTATACGAATACAGAGCCAATGAGATTGAAGTATGTTGCCGGTAATCGATAAATGATCTTAACGTAAAAGAATAAGTGCTACAAGTTCTGCCGAGCGTAAAAGGCTTAACACGTTTTTTTTTTAATATCTTCACTGGTTTTCCGTTCGCTGGCTCTCGTGTGCCGTTTGACGATCAACGCAGTTTTCACGTGGCTCTCTGTGTTTATTGTAACGCAAAAAGGATTAAAAATCCTACATGTAAGTTCTAAACAGAAGACTGTTGTCTTTGCAAGGTTAAAGATCCGTTGAGAAATAGTAATCTTTTAAGACTCATAAAGACCACCTACGAGTTGAGACGGATCACATCGGATTAAGGAGACGTGGTACAGACTATCTCAGACTTAAGAAACTCAATATAGACTACCCAACACAAAAGAAGTGATACAGGCTATATAGGATCAGGGATACTCGATATAAATTACCAAGAATACAGAAAATTCGAGATGCATAAATTCTACAGAACATTATTTCGTTAAGTTGGATTTTCATTTATGTATTTTACTATTTTGTGTAAAGTAAACAAAATAAATAATACATTTTAATGTAGAATTATTATCAAATTGTAAACAAGTAAATCATTGGTACTAATCAGCTGATAAGAATCATAGGAATGTCCGTACCTATATGTATGAATTACAAGCAGTCAAATACCGGGAACTGCGATGGCGCAGTGGGTAAGGCGCGTGGTCTGTAAATCCGTAGGCTCCCAGTTCGAGCCCCGTTAGGTCCCTTTCCAAGTTTTTCATGGCAGGGCGGTTTTTCACCATCATACTTTTCACGCAAGTGATCCTTCATCGTTACACGCTTACCGTTGCGTGTGACAAGTCTGTCGCTTGCTAGAGTAAATGATTCCCAGGCACGGGTTGATTTGAGCCAGTCTTAAGAATTGAGTTAAGATTCGGTCAAGCATGACTCCGCACAATTCTTTTTTTTTCTTAATCAACAATAGGAAGATCAATCGGAGACTATTTTTATTGATATTTGAACAGTCTAAAACTGAGTACTCGTCGAAATTAATAAACTAAAAACGGTAATGCCTTTTCCATCGTTAGTTATACGGGGAGTATCATCGTTAGTTAACTGGGGACTCCCCCAGTGGTGCGAATAATGCCGTTGCTCGTGTCGCAAGGATTAAAAAGTGCCATCGAACGTTCCCATTAACGGCAATTGCTCAGAACCCACCTCTCAAGGATCAATTATGGACATTTATTCGAAGACCGTCGAAGGATCTGCTAAACGTTTCCATTAAATTGATGACAGTTCAGTATTCACCCATTCGGAAAAATTTTCTTAGGCTTCTACACGTTTGAAGCGGGTTTCCCCCGGTTCGTAACGCTGCAATATTGCATCAGGACTCCCTTGAAGTCCCGAATTAGTGTCAGAATCAAACATTAAATAATTCCTAAAACGGCCAAGTCGTACCCTCATAAAGATTCACAAAATTATCTAGCACATCCAGAAGTGGATCCTACCTAGGGATAGTTACGAAATTGCTGTTCCGTACTCGTTACCGTATATATTATTCAAACGAACTCGACGAAACTGTTTTCCACGGGGTAGGAATAGGGAAACGAAAAGCTCTTTGCATACACACTCACACAGGTAGCCACGTGAAAAGTGTGGACTTTTGGTCGGTGCCAAACGGCGTGTCCTCGACCAATCGTTAACGCCTCCGTCCCCCACGGGGGAGAGAGACTTGTAACGTCAATTCCATGTCTGGTGTGACGGTCGAAGGTGAAGGACTTCGACGAGGCCGACAAAGTCTCGGCGGCGTGCACAACGACGAGATCGAACGCGGCAGATAGCCGGAAAGGATCGACGGCCACCGTGGTGTCCAACGACGAGGAGAATGGTAACGGCCGGAAGAGGAAGAAGAAACGTCGGAAAACACGTAACAAACAGCAGCTGCAGCTGCATCATCTGCCGCCGCCGGACACGCCGGGCGACAATCATCAGACAGTGGTGAATCTCGCGTCGTCCTCGGAGGAGGTCGAGGCGGTCGGGGAATGCTCGAAACGCGACTCGTCGAGCAGCTTGGGCGGCGGCAGCCGGCACACCACCTTCCGGGAATCGTTGCTCACGGTGCTTGGCAAACTGGTGATCTGGAAGGGCACCAGGTACAGATCAGCGACCGCCGCGTCCTCCTCGTCATCCGGCCCGCCGAATTCACCACCCGCCACCGAGTGCATCGGCCGTAGCACATCCTTTTTTTCCAGCGGTGAGTGTTGTTACCCGCGTTCGCTACCTTTCGTTCTGTAAGCCCCACCCCCCTATATGGAGATTAGGAGTTTGAGTTCTTTTTATAGTCACCATTAATTTGCTATACTCTCACCCCAATACAGACTCCTCTCGATTGTCGCCCCGAACTCGGGTCCGCGCCGAGAGAATAATCTTGTAGGGTGAAATGCTCCAGATCCTCGTAAAATTGGTTTTTTGCCTGAAGCTTGAGTCTCGGCAGCAAAACCGGAGCTGCTACAAAGTATGCGTTTGGCATTACAAGTTGAGCCCCAGATGAGAAAATCACCCCCTGCCCGGTTGTACTACGATTTTCGGCCCACCTTGTATAACTGATCGTCTCCTCAAATCCGTCGTAAAGACAAATGCACCGAGATTCTATTTTTGTAATGCATTCGCTTCATTACAAGGCACTTACTTTGCGTAAAAAGAACAGTCGGTTGTGTCGAATGTACGCGTCAGTGGTGTAATCAGATAGCGACGGTGGTAACGGCACGATGTTGCAACATTTGCAAATTTTACCGTCCATTTAGATGAAGTGGTCACGATAATGGACTTGCGTCGCGGAAAAACTGCGGCGGGTTAGTCAACCTGGTTTGTCCCCGCGTAATCCTGCAATTCGTTTTATTTGTAAAATGCAACACTCATTTACGTAACTCGGTTGACCACATTTGCGTAAATAAATTCGCCTTACCCGTTACCACTCGAACGTCTCATTTACCTGTTTTTCAGAGTAAGCGTGTACACGCAATTCGTACATCTTTATTTTGCAAATGTAATTTATTGCCAGTCGGAATTGTTGTTTGCACAGGATTATTTGAAATAAATTAGCCAAGCTTTCTATACAGTTTCTGAATTACAAGATATTATTATTATTTTATAATGACAGATAAAGGGCTAGAATATTCAAATTTCCTTGAACTTGTAGAACAAAAAATCCAAAATTCTTGTAAGAGAAATTAGGTGTATTTTTCAAGTGTCTGTAAATTTGAATTTTGAGCACCTACTGCGGTGAAATAAGATTTTCCTTGTAATTTAGAATTGTTTTACTTCAAGATATAGGGATAGTAACACGTTTTTTATTACACAAAGTTTGTACTGTAAGTTCGGAAACACCCTATACACTATTTATTTTCGCGTTGATTTTCGGGCAGTCATTCAGAAATTTCTCTTGAACACGCTACAGAAAAGAATGTAAAATGTTTCTTTACTAAAAAAAAATTCACCCATGTATAAATAGAAGATGACGTTATATTTTGGTGCTATAAATGTTTTTCAAACAGCTTCGACACGTGCGAGTGTTTGCGTCGAAAATCTAAAGATGAAAATATTTAATTGTTGCCGGTTCCCCATTTCGTTACCGTGTCGTAACGACGGCCGTTATTGAGTTTCGTTGCCATTTCATTTGCGGAGACAACGTTCAGCTGTCCCCTTCGTGCGTAACACTTAATTGATACTTTCACTACCTTTTATAATTCTATCCCAGTTGGTTGCTATTAACAAATTGCACTATAATCGTTGCATTACACGTCCCGTACGCCTAATACAAGTGGAAATAATAAAAACATTGGAAAATTGAAAAAATTATTATTTACAGCCGGAGAATGCCGTTACAATGAGAATCATCGACGAATTACTTTCATATAAGAACCGTCGAATTTCGTTCGGTCGAATCGTCGCACGGTACAAATAACAGTTTTCTTCTTCTTCTTTCAGAAACGGAGAGGAGAATTCGCGCCAATAATCGCGAGTTCAACTCACAGTTTAATTATGCGGTAAGATTGAAAAATATATTTCTCGTAATTTCGGCGCTCTCGACACGCGCAAAAATAATTCAGATCAGCCGTGAACTGTGCCGTGATTAACGACAAATGATCATTTGCTTCTCTCGTCTCTTTTGCAGAACAACTACATCAAGACGTCCAAGTATTCGGTTCTGTCGTTCCTACCATTAAATTTATTCGAGCAATTTCAACGGCTCGCGAACTTTTACTTCCTATGCCTGCTGGTGCTTCAGGTGATACCCGCTATCTCCTCTTTGACCCCCATCACTACAGCCATACCCCTTATAGGGGTGCTCATGCTCACTGCCATCAAAGATGCTTACGACGATTTTGTGAGTATACGAGACACACGCCTTTTTTTCTTCTGTTACGGAGAAAAGGGATGATTTCTTGGAGATTCTTTAGAGCACGTACCGGATCTCTTCTTTTCTTTTCAAGTAACTTGTGAGAATAAAGGAAAAAGTTTTCTCTGTAATGAATGCATTATTGTGATAACTACAACAAGTATACAGAGTGTGTCCTATTTAAATCGATCTCGAATATCTTTGAAATTATTTGTTATACCGGAAACTGTATCAAACAATAGTTAAGTGGTATCGAGGGGGACAGAATTTGATGTCAATCTTTTTCTGTAGGCGAAGACTACCCTGTGTAGGTTAACTTAACTTTTCTTAATAGAAGTATAGTATACTGGTTTTATATTGTGTGAACATTCCCAGATAACACTTGACGCCTTAAAGACGCCCATGTTACGGCTATTTTAGGTCTAAGGCGCCTTTAAGCCGTCTTCAAGGCGTCATTAGGCGTCATGTGCTATCTGGGATGTTATTAAGAGTAAACGATAAATGTATAACGGGAATATGGTGGGCACAAAGTTATGCAATTGCATCTACCCACCTACGTGCTTCACGAAAATCAACGATGTCTTACGATCGGTTATATTTAAATGCACGTGCAAATAATATTCCTTGAAAGTGGAGATTTTATTACATCTGGTCCAATTATAGCGCAAAATGAGAAATTAATTTTCCAGAATGTTCTGCCGTCGTAACGTGATCGTGTTTCCAATAAGAACTGGACACTTTCAATGCATATTTCATTTTTAACCTTGTGTTACTTTGAACATTATTATTCATCTCGGCGGTAAAATTATACCCTCCGCCGAGACAAAAACATAAGGTGACCCTCGTATCCATTAAACGATTTCTATCGATTTGTGTATACTAATGTAAAATATAAACACCACATATGTATTTGACACTGACTTTTGAGATTCTGCGAATAAGAAATCATCCCTTTTATAGTTGAATCACATTATGGGATATCTTATAATATAAAAATTGTAAAACATGTGTATTACTATAAGATTGATTTATGGAACTAAAATTAAGTTAAACACGTATCTCCTTTATTAAAGGTGGTATTAAGTCCAAAATAGACCAAAGTTAATGGTAATGTTTACTAAAATTTCCATTGCGTTATATCGAACATCGCAGTCCACTTACAAATCTGTCAAATGTATTTTAGCAACGGCATAGCAGCGACTCACAAGTGAACAATCGAAAATCTCACACTCTTCGAGGCACTACCCTCCGCGAAGAGAAATGGTCGCAAGTCCAAGTAGGCGATGTAATCAGAATGGAGAACGATCAGTTCGTTGCCGCCGACGTCCTTCTTTTATCTACTAGTGAGCCGAACGGTCTCTGTTACATTGAAACTGCGGAATTAGATGGGTCAGTATTAATATTTAACACAATCGCCGATCAACACACGGTAATAACATAATAATCGTATGAATCGTTTCAGGGAAACGAATTTGAAGTGTCGGCAGTGTTTACCCGAAACTGCCGAGATGATGGACAACCATGAACTGATTGGTCAATTCGATGGCGAGATTGTCTGCGAAACTCCCAATAATTTGCTAAATAAATTCGATGGTACACTTACGTGGAAAGGACGAAAGTAAGTAATATCGTTTTCACAATGATAAGAACGCCTAATAAGTACGCCTAATAATTTAATATAAAAGCCCCGAGCATATAATATCGCTGTCTCGGTATCGTGTACAGTGGTATTATTTTATAGCGAACGTGATCTTGCATACGTTAATATTTCGTCTTATTATTTGTTGGCAGATACGCATTGGACAACGACAAAATTATATTACGTGGTTGCGTGCTCAGGAACACGCAATGGTGCTATGGTGTGGTCATCTTTGCAGGCAAGGATACCAAATTGATGCAAAACTCAGGGAAGACCAAATTTAAGAGGACGTCTATAGATAGGCTGCTGAATCTACTGATCATCGGAATAGTGTTCTTTTTACTTTCCATGTGTTTGTTCTGTATGATCGGCTGTGGTATATGGGAAAGCCTTGTTGGCCGTTATTTCCAAGTGTATCTACCCTGGGACTCGTTGGTGCCTACCGAGCCCATGAGCGGTGCCACAGTGATCGCTCTGCTTGTGTTCTTTTCTTATGCGATCGTATTGAACACCGTGGTGCCAATCAGTTTGTACGTGAGTGTCGAAGTAATCCGGTTCGTTCAGTCGTTTCTGATCAACTGGGACGAGGAGATGTACTACGCGCCCACGAACACTCACGCTAAGGCAAGGACTACCACGTTAAACGAGGAGTTGGGACAAATAGAGTATATATTTTCCGATAAGACCGGGACGCTCACCCAGAATATTATGACATTTAACAAGTGTTCTGTGGCGGGGAAATGTTATGGGGACGTTATTGACGAAGTGACCGGGGAAGTCGTCGATTTAAGCGAGGTGAGTCTGTTTGTCTCTCTACATGTAACCAGACTCGATGCTGATGACACAGGGTACGTTATCTCTGAAATCGTTTTGCTGTACAATGAAGTCGATCGTTTTTTGTCCTTCTTTTCTAGCTTTTAATGTTACGTAAGCGTACAGTATACATATATACGTTTAAGTGAAAACACTCAGTTATTATTGCAACTGAACTTTTATTGCGATCACAATGTTCACTACATCCACGACATATTGAACTACTTCTTCTCCCATCGTGTACATACTGTACATAAAAAAAAATACACATATTTTAATAATTTCGAAACAAAAAACAAGATTATTCTTTAAGATATACATTTATTTAAATATTTATGTTTCTGTTTTACATTTAATATACGTAAATTTTTATGGAATATTATGAAATCATTAATGAGCATTGGTATTCGATACATCAAGTTCATTCATTTCATGTTTGTTATCAAGAAAGAATATATTACGGTTTGATTGTGAATAGTGACAATTGGAAATATTTCGAAGGACCGTGTAAACATCTATTAAACAAATGTATTTCATTTAATAATTTTTCTTCTTGATAACAAAATAAATACAATCGAATCATTTCACAGTTTGGCCATATTTTGCATAAGTTTTCATGTACATCACTTAGCATGTGTGTGCTGCATGTAGACGGACAAAGCTGCCCAAACACCTACGATGAGATGGAAAAACGGCCAAGAATTTGTTCAAGTATATACACCAATAAGTGGTCCAAACGTACGTCTGCTGGAACATGTGGACAGGATATCCAATATAATTCCAGAACCAACCATCTATGGCAGTCCGATGATTCCACATAAACTTTCAGTACGCATGTTTATTAATGCACATCTTCCTTAAGCGAAGAGATATTTTTGTTTAATATGCTGTTTTTATCTGTTACTTTACTTCTATGCTTTTGGTTTATAAACAATTAATCGCTACATACGATATATGGGTATTATCATCTTTTACAATATACAAGTGAATGTTGCTAAAAACTTATTTGTACCTTGCAACTCGCCATTACATTAGATGCATGCGTAGTACTCCATTCCTTTTCGGTATGCTTAGAATATACAAATTAATTTTCACAATGCTTTAAGGAATTATAAAATCATAACAATCTTATGTGCCTGCTGACTTACAACAAATCTATTTATCTGGAGGCAAGGTATTTACTTCGAGTTCTGGTACTTCTATTTCTGCATACTGTCTCTTGTGTGCCGTATTAAACGCATTTAAAAAAAAAAGAACACAATATTTCAAGTAACACTCCTATATACATTTACAGACATTGCCACCGTTGGATTTCTCGTTCAACAAAGATTACGAGCCAGAGTTCAAATTCTACGATACTGCGCTGCTGGAAGCTGTGAAGCGGAACAACGAAGATGTCCATAGTTTCTTTCGATTGTTGGCGCTCTGTCATACCGTCATGCCCGAGGAGAAAAATGGCAAGCTCGAATATCAGGCACAGTCACCGGACGAGGCTGCCCTTGTCTCCGCCGCGAGAAACTTTGGTTTCGTATTCAAGGAAAGATCCCCAAACAGTATAACGATTGAGGTTATGGGGAAACGCGAAGTGTACGAACTACTTTGCATTCTGGACTTCAACAACGTACGGAAAAGAATGTCTGTGATCCTGCGGAAGGAGGGTCATCTTAGGCTTTATTGCAAAGGGGCGGATAATGTTATTTACGAACGGTTAAAAAAAGGCAGCGAGGAAATGATGGCGACAACCTTAGACCATCTTAACAAATTCGCGGGCGAGGGCTTAAGAACATTGTGCCTTTCGGTCAGAGATCTAGATGAACAGTTTTTCAATGATTGGAAACAACGCCACCAAGAAGCCGCAATGAGCCACGAAAATAAGGATGACAAATTGGACGCGATCTACGAAGAAATCGAAAAAGATATGACGTTACTGGGCGCAACCGCGATTGAGGATAAGTTGCAGGATGGTGTACCTCAAACGATTGCTAATTTAGCTCTTGCTGGAATCAAAATCTGGGTATTAACTGGTGACAAACAAGGTAAAATGAAAAATATATGCATATATATAAGTATTTGGAAATTGTATCTAAACTTCGTTCCATGTAAGAATAACCTCACGTTTGTACGAGTTTTCGACCGATTTGCGCAGCCCCCACTACTACATGCGCGAAACGAGGTTATTCTTACGTGGAATTGAATTTAATGTATGGTATGTTACATGTATATTTATTTATATTTGTATTTATTTATCCGTGTACAGAGACGGCTATCAATATTGGCTATTCCTGCCAGTTGTTGACAGATGACCTTACAGACGTATTTATAGTAGATGCTACCACTTACGACGGTGTTGAGAATCAGTTATCGCGATACTTGGAAACAATCAAAACAACCTCCAGTCAGCAAAATCGGCCAACTCTCTCCGTTGTCACATTCAGGTGGGACAAGGAAAGGTCAGGCACATGAAAGAGACGGAGTACAACCATTAACATTTTCCATACCTATTTCTGACTTACTAACGCATTTATTTCCAAAGTTTCTCTTTCATATTGAATGTGGCATCATGTTCTGTGTAACGCTTTCTTTGTCTGGTTATGCCTAAGAACGATGTACTTGAGATTCAGTTCTATGTCGTTGATATTATGACAAACTGAGAAGTCAAAATTGGGAATATTGAAATGTATGATATTATAAAACTATCTTGTTGCGGATCGCAAACAATGCATTCTTAATAATGTTTCTATTATGAAACGTCGAGTAACTTGTGTATTACTTAGCATGCATTTCACAAGACTGTAAAGGTATCGATAAGTTATATATTGTACTAGTACCTTGTTTTAATTCAATTCGCTATGCGTATAATAATGTCAGTATTCTCGTGTTCAAATTGAATTAAGTTTCTACAAAATCTTCCAACATACAGTGAAGTATATACATATTTGCATGCAGATTTAAAAATACTTATACATATGGAAATGTTAAAGTTTTACCAAATATGCTCTATTCTTCAATTACTGAGGGATGTTCAAACCATTTACCTCATGCTTGTCAGTTATTCTTTTTATAATGTAGATACTTCAGTACAGTAGATTAGGTTCTAGTCCTTTTTGTTTTTTTTCTTAAATGTTACCATCTTTTGTTCTGTACATTTTCAGTACCCTATATGATTTTGTATTAACATTAATAGTCCAAACCGATAATGATAATTACCATGTGCTTGATACTCACTCCTTCTCTTTCTGTATGCTTAAAATTAATCTTAGTAATAATGATAATAACACGAAGCGTATGATGCTTATGTCACGTTATTATATTAGTAGTCCATGATACAGTGCACTGTGTGTATTGTTTATAATTAATGCGCATCATTTTTATATCCAGTGAAACAATTCAGGTCTCCCTTTTTCTTATGCAAGGAAAGTTAAATATTTTACCCCCGCCTTTATTCGATAACAATTCTGTATATTCGATTCATTTTATAAAAGAAACGAAACTCAGCTTCATGAAATTGAAGCTTTATCTCTGTAAAACATCCATCATCTAAACATTATGTTTTCCACATACAGCAGCGACACTGAATACAATCCTAGTAGAGACGAGCAAGATGAACATGAAATGGAACAAGCAACAGGATTCGCTGTGGTTATCAATGGGCATTCCTTAGTTCATGCGTTGCATCCGCAATTAGAGCAACTTTTTCTTGAAGTATCAAGCCAATGTAAGTGATAAAGAGGGGAATAGTTTCTTTGTTATTATTTCTACGAACTACAACATGACCATATCATATTTCAAACTTCCAGGTAAAGCTGTGATATGTTGTCGCGTGACACCCTTACAAAAAGCGATGGTTGTCGAATTAATCAAGAAAAACAAAAATGCAGTAACTTTGGCGATTGGTGATGGAGCCAATGATGTCTCGATGATAAAAACGGCTCATATCGGTGTTGGTATCAGTGGTCAAGAAGGATTGCAAGCTGTATTGGCATCTGATTACTCGATAGGACAATTCAGATTTTTAGAAAGGTTGCTCCTCGTCCACGGAAGATGGTCATATTATAGGATGAGCAAATTTCTTAGATATTTTTTTTACAAGAACTTTGCGTTCACACTATGCCACATCTGGTTTGCTTTTTTCTGCGGATTCAGCGCACAGGTACAATCTTCTTGTTATTAGTATCCTTATTTAATTATACCGTGTAGTAATATTACAAAATGATGAGTTTAAGGCGAATGTGATTCACGCAATTCCTTTGTAGAGCATAGTTAGTTCCAGAGTCGAGTCTTGGAATATGAACTTTCTTTTTATTCTGATGTTCAAACATTCCATTTAAATTTTCATTACGAAACATATTACACTATATATACTTATAAATATATATTCTTTTCCAGACTGTATTCGATCCTATGTACATCTCTGTGTATAACCTATTTTATACGTCATTACCTGTAATGGCAGTCGGTATATTCGATCAAGATGTTAATGATAAAAACAGTTTATTGTATCCGAAACTCTATGCGCCCGGATTACAAAATTTACTTTTCAATAAGAAGGAATTTTGCTGGAGTGCCATACACGGTTTTTTTGCTAGTTGCGTTTTATTTCTAGTTCCGTATGGTAAGTTCTAATAACTCATTTAATCGTTCTTCAATTAAGTCTGACGGCTAGTATTTCGTATAACTAAAACAAACAAACGAAATTGCAAATTTTCAGGGACATATAAAGATGGAGTGTCACCAAAGGGCTATGTACTTTCTGATCATATGTTGCTAGGAAGTGTCGTAGCCACCATATTAGTTATAGTTGTGACCGTTCAAATAGCCCTTGATACATCATATTGGACGATCGTTAATCATATTATGGTTTGGGGCTCGCTCATATGGTATTTTATTTTAGACTATTTCTATAACTTCGTCATAGGCGGTAGCTACGTTGGCAGTCTTACTATGGTACGTAAACTTATTTCCGAGGTATAACAATTTTTACTATAATGGAAAGAAGGATTGTACGCATTATAAAGTCAAATGTTACAAAAAAAAAAAGCTTGTATAAATGTAGAGATCCGAAAATATTAAATTTCGTAAAGTACTTTGGGCATACAGATACTTTTATAAAACATTACTTTGGTAATAAAATACGGGGACGCTCTTGACTATGATGTCTACACTCATGCCGTCCACTGTAAGTATTACATTGATGTTTTTTATGTTCAATTTTAGGCAATGTCTGAAGCGACGTTTTGGTTCACGGCAGTCATTTCGTGTATCATATTGGTAATACCTGTACTGTCGTGGAGATTCTTCTTCATAGATGTTAGGCCAACTTTGTCTGATAGGGTTAGACTTAAGCAGAGGTTGGCGCAGCTGCGTTCTCGCCAAAGTCAGGACATACTTCGTACGCCGTCTACGAAGCGAACGCGGCGGTCGCTACGTTCCGGGTACGCTTTCGCGCATCAGGAAGGTTTCGGCAGACTTATTACGTCCGGGAAAATTATGCGGAAATTGCCAAATGGTGCAGATTTTAAGTTTGCCATGCCGTTCACGAACAATACCAGTAAGCAAATTAATGTCGCTACCACGTCACCAAAGGACAATTCATCCAAAAATTCGCACACACTGGATACTATTAATCTGTAATCTGGACATTATGTTGTAAGTCTTTCCACTATCTATTAAATTTCGAACGAATGATTCGCTAGGCCCACGTAGCAGTCATACAATGGAGGTATTGAAATGTGTACGAACTATTTTTTTTTCTTTTTCGGTTACTACCAAAACGGATTTTTGTTCTAAATATGTTCTGGCATCAAGTTTCGTTTCGTTTGCAACCCGTTCTCACCATCACACACGACACGCAGAAAAATTCCGTGTATACGTATCGCAGAGTAGGTGAAAAAACTATTCGCCAGCTTATTCGATTCAGTCGTTTTTGTATCGATGCTTGTAAAAATTTAAGTAATCGAATTACATAAGACAATAAAGTATTAATGGTTTGCATAAGAAATTCTACACACTAGTAAGTACTAAAGAGTACCATTCTTTTTTTTTGTTTCACCAAAAATTATTTTTAGTTCAAAATCATTTGAATAAGATGCATTTTTACAAGGTCAGTCATTATTCTAGACTCTGCAGAGTTATATTATTGTATATCGTTGATTTCAACAAAAATTTATGTTCTAATTAGTTTTCGATGCATACGAACTTGATTAAATTTATTAAACAACAGGTCTGAGATCCAATTTTTGAAGTAGAAATAAACAAGTAAGTTCAGTTTCTTTATTTGATTGTGTGTACAAAAAGGTTGTTTTAATTTTTAACGTATTATTTGTATTACAGAGCTAGAGTCTAGAATGAAAAAGATCTCAACTTTAAAGAATCCATTGAGCTGTTAATAGTGACTTCTTGAAAAATGCACAGGTTGATTTATGATTATACATTTTTGCTTTACACACGAAAAACAAAAAAGTGACAACTATAAAAGCTTTAAAGCCTATAGTATAGGAATATATAGACTCTGCTACTACTTATTGGTTGTCTGCAACTAAACGTTCCAATTATTAATTGAAATTGATTAATTACTACTGCTTACTAATCCGTTATTACCATCAAGAATATTAATTTAATAAGGTCTGCAGTGACAGTACATCGATCTCAAATGTTTTAATGTATATCGGTAAACGTGTGAATCAAAATAAAAGGAACGCAGATTGCAATAATGTTTTAAATTCCGTAAAGTTTAGTTGGTGTTGTTATATAATCTCAAGTAAATTTGAGTAGCAAATATATTGGAAATTCTGTAGGATGAATAAATATTTTTTCTTTAAAAATTGGCATGAAAACATAATGCAATAATAAAACAAAACTAATTTGTATGATCATGACACTCCCTGTGTACATATGTGTAGAAGTGTAAAAAAAAATCATCTAATATCCCTACTTGTATTATATGCTGTCCTAATATGAACATGGTTGCTGTAAAAATTAAACATATTTACATGATATAATATATATATGTATAGTATATG